AAAGAGGAACAGAGTTGAAATGTTGCAATAACTGACTCCTCTCTCCTCTTCCATCCCATCCCCCTCCAATATTCTCCATATAGCAGCCACACTGAACTTTTAAAACATAAATCAGATTATACCACTCCTTAAACCCTCTGTTTCCCACCTTAGAAATCCAAACTTCTGACAATGGTCTGTAAGCCCTTCTGTATCTGATTCTCACTATCTGTAAAATCTCATCTCAATCCAGGCTCCTGAGTTCTCTACTCTTATGTTGCAGTCACACAGGCCTATGTGGTCCTCAATAATTCATTCTTGCCTTAGGACTTTTGCACTTGGTGTTACTTCTGCCTGAACTTTCCCATAGAACTTCATGCACCTAGCTCCTTCCTTATGCTTTAGGTCTCAGCTCAAATGTTACATGCTCTGAGAGGATTTCCTTCTTAATGCTATCAATACTCTTTCCTTTTTAGTTCATATATGCCCTATTTTATATAAATGGCAACTAGAAATATTTGGCTTTATTTCTATTTTCCAACTAAAATGTGAGTTCTATAAAAACACACTTTATCATTCTATCTCTAGCACCTAGAATAATAAGTACTAGATAATTATTGAATTAATGAGTCAAAAAAATACATAATCTCCATTCTTACCTTTCTGCCATTTAAGAAATGTTAGTGAGAGAACATGGAGTTGTGGATGGAGCATTGATTGGAGTCAAACAACCCTGAATTTTAATCCTAAAGAGCTGTGTGATTTTGAGTCATTTACTTCACCCTGAATTTCTCATCTGTAAAATAAATAAATTCTAAAAGAAGTAACAATAAAACTTACCTTGCAGAATTGTTAACAGAATTAAAAACAAGATCATACATGTGAAAACACCAAGCCCAGTTATTTGGCACTCAATATGACTTTGGTTTCCAAATATTGTTGCATATTGGAATCACCTGGAAATCTTTACAGACTTCTGATGTATGGCTTCCATACCCAAACATTCTGATTTAATTGGTACGGGGTACAGCTTGGGCATCGGGATCTTTAAAAGCTCTCCAGGTGATTCTAAAATGGGCAGCAAAGTTTAGGAACTTTGCAGTAAAAGACAATCATCTGATAAACAGCATGGCAAATTCAGAATAAGGACTTCAAGAACAGCCCTCAAGTTACCCGTGCATTGTTTGTGCTTAGATTCAGCTCTTTTAAAAAGCCCTCCTAAGATTACATTTAACAACTATGGATCTATTTGCTTCTTGTTTTGCTTTTTCTCAGAGTCAACAGTGTACATATTTATCCAGTGACACAACATAAGGCCAGAGCCTAAAACTTCTTGCTCCCTTTCACATTACTTAGGAAAAAAGACAGTAGATGTTGACTTGATTTCCACCATATACCACACGTAAAATTACTTTGTATTGGTTCTTAGAGGTAATTGTGAAATGAAAGCAACTAAGTTTCCAGAAAAAAAGACTATCATCATGACATTGGGACAAAGATTTCTTAAAACAGCAGACAAAAATCACTAATCACAAAAAAACCAGAGGAATTAAAAAACTTTATCAAAAGAAACCAAAAACTCCCATGTAAACACAAAATACTCAAAACAATTAAAAAACAAAACAAAAAACTGCTGTTATTCTAGCTTGCGCCTAAAGCCAGTGTTTGACCTTGTACTAAGATTGACATGCTGACCAAAAATGGAATTACCTCTTGAAAGTGAGCTCATCATGAAAAGACAGAGGGGCTTTAAATGCATACTGCTAAGTGAATGAAGCCAATCTGAAAAGGCTGTATACCGTGTGATTCCAATTGTATGACATTCTGGAAAAGGAAAAACTATAGAGACAATAAAAGGATCAGTGGATGCCAGGATAGGAAGGGGGAGGAAAGAGGAAGGGATGAATAAGTGGAACATGAGTTTTAGGGCAGTGAAATTATTCAGTGTGATATTTTACATGACATTATGCATTTGTGAAAACTTATAGAACTGTACAACACAGAGTGAACCCTAACATTAACTTACCCATACTATTAACTTTAGTTAATAATAATGTATCAAGACCCATTCATCAATTCTAACCCATGTACCACACTAATGTGAGATGTTAATATAAGAAAAAGGAGAAGGAATATACAGGAACTTAGTATTTTCTGCTTGAGTTTTCTATAAACCTAAAGCTGCTTTAAAAAATAAAGTCTATTAATTTCCCAAAAAGGCAATAAAACAATGGGCTCAAAGGTATCATTTTATATTATGTGATAATATGCTATTTGTGAAAAGGAACTTTTTCACTGCTGCATTAATCATCCTAGTAACCAATTGCACTGTATCATATCAATCGCTCAAAGTTAAACATTTTTGGCAATGGCTGGTTTTCAGTGTTTAAAGGAAAACAACTGATTTTATAAGATTCAGAAAACTCATGAGTCTGTTAAAACCTTAATTTTATTGTCTATGTAGTTATTCAACAGTCTGAAAGAAAACTTCATGTTATTAACTATAAATATACGGGCTACAGCATATCTAAATATCTTTGTTTCTGAATAAGTCCTATTTAAATAGAAAAAAGTAACTGCATATCAAATTTTATTTTAATTAATGAAATGGAAACCCTACTCCCACTTGAAATGAAATGTCATTATTTTCATATGCTACATTGGAGGTAAAACGTGTTTCTCCATAATCCTTAGAAAATATTTATACTACAAAAATTCATCCAGTCTTAAAAAAATTTTTAAAACTGATATGCCAATCCTCTTCGTGATCAATAAATTCACCAGTTTATCCAGAATGGCAACTTGATTTTACAACTTGAAATGTTTTCTATAAAAACGAGTTATGTTTTAGATATTTACTTCCTATTAAAAAGTCTGAAGCTTCCAAAATATAGCACCACAATTTAAAACTTTTTATTGTTAATAGCATATTTCCATCTTTGCTTTTTGCAAGTAGTGGAAATAGATGGATATCAGTTAGAATTATAATTTAAATGAACACATGAGAACATAATTTATAAATGCATACAATTAGTCAAACTTTGTTACGTAACAAAAAGACAAATCTAGCTAATAGGATTCTTAATCCAAGTAGTATTAAAAACAGAATTGTCACATACACAAGCATACAAAATTTTGTTCTAGTTAATTCAACTTGTATAGTGGTCTTCATTAAAAAAAACACTGAAAAGTACAGCAAAATTATTTTTAAAAATCTCATCAAATGACAAGTAGTAACAAGTTTTTGCCAAGATTTTTCTTTAGGAATGAAAATGATAAAGCAAAGAATGTGAAAATCTTAAGGAAGTAGCATTTATTAAAGATAATAAGAAATATATCTTGGCAAATTGAGATCTTAGGGGCTCACACTGCATCCGATGTTCCTCTGCATGAGAAGGGGACTCTGGAAGTGTCTATAAGCCAAACTGAGTGGGAAAGAGATTTTTTCCAGTACGCTGGCAGTTTTCCCATCAGTGACTGGCTTTATTATCAAATAGAAACAGCTTAATCCTAAAAATTTTTAGCACAAATGCACTGAGAAAAAACATTATTCCCAGCTCTATCCTCAAACACAGAAATGTTCCCTATTAAAATTAGTCTTAAAACATAAAAAATGTGAAAATACTAAATACCTCAAAAATGAAAAAAAAAAAAAAAACAGAAAATACTGAAAAATACATGATTGACATGAGTTACTTCAGCTATCTGAAAGTATGCTTTTATTCCAAAAGAGTCTATTTACAAAGCGTGCTTACATTACATTTTAAAAGACATGTATCGGATGTTATTAAGTCAGTTTAGCAATTTTTATAAAAAGATTCATATCCTTTCAAACATATTTTGTCATTTAAAAAACTGCAACTGTCATTGTCGTGAAAGAGCACGTGACCTTAAGGGAAGAAACATCTCACTAGAGTTTCCACAAGTTCCTTCTTCCAACTGCAGCTCCGGTGGCAAAGGAGGAGCCCCAGGGTCCCCAGGCCGGGGAAGCGTAGTGGAAGAAAAGGTAGGATTTTCAGTTCTGCCTACTTCTAGAACAGGCAAATTCAGAGAAGAATCAGTAGAAAAAAAGGGGGCTGTGCTGGATTCTCCTTCTGGATGGTACATAACAGTGGATGCTCTCAGTTTTTCAGAGAAATTAATCTCATCTGAATTTGATCTAGAGAGGTTGTTTGTGGCTCCATCTGGAAAAGGCTCACAGCTGCTACATTTCAGCCCTACAATAAAGTTAATCAGATATCAGTGAAAAAGTAACAAATAAAGTTGAGTCCATGCCCATCTTATTTTTTTTTAAAGATTACAAGCTAGGTACCACACAAGCAAAATTTAAATAGCAATTTATAAATTCTGTCATAATCCATTTCACATTTCATGTGTTTTTCCCAACAACTATGAAGTGTACTATTATTTACACTTTCTAGATAAGGCAATAGCCTCAAGGAAGCTAAATCACATGCTGTAATTCACATCTGAATATTTATATACTTAACCACTGAAGGACCTGGAAAAAAATTAAGTAGCCCCTAAAATTTTTCATAAAAGAAGTAGCTGTCACAACTAATATTCTTTAGCATTCTGGCACACACACACAAAATTACCCAATTAAAACAAAATTTAAACACGGCATACGCTAAAATTCTATGAGTTAATTAATGCCAATTACTGATTCTTGAATCGCAGGGTATTAGAAGTGGAGGGGTTTTAGAGGTCATCTGGGATAGTCTCTCACTATTAGAGATGAGAAAACAGACGCCCAGAACAGTTAAGCCATGCTCAGAATTCCAGGACTACTTCATGGGAAAGTGAGAACTAGGTCCCAGGTGTCCTCTTCACATTAAATGGATACTGTCCTGTTTCTCAACTTAACAATTTACTTAAATTACAGTGGTTGTTCTGATCAAATAACTTTACCATATCCAGAGGGTAGAGCCAACAATTATCCTTGGGGTAGAAAGAATAAACATGAACACAATTTATCTTCTGTTAAACTCAGCGAATATTCAATCCCTAACTATCCATAGGCACAGAACTCTCTGAGTTGACACATTTTATGTAAAATCTGTAAAGTCTATAAAGTATATTTATAAGTAATTTATTCACACTAGTTTTCCAACTTCACAATATATTCAGCATTTCTGTCCCATGGTATAGAAACTATTTTCTTAAATATGGCACAGAAAGGGAAACTTCTAATGTGTTCCAGCATGGACTTATAGACTATGAATTCCTTAAGGGCAGAACCCTAAATTACTCATTTCTGCATCCCCAGCGCCTAGAACAGCTTGAACAGAGCTATATTACAGTCACATTTAACTTAGGTGCTCTAAAGAGATGGAGAGCGAAATAGGGGCTTAGGGGGAGGGGGATTTAAATTATGCAGGCAATGCTATGCAGCATTCCAATCAGTGAATATGTGTGCTCTGGGGTGAGGGTGAAACAAGAGAGGTGAATTTGCTATTTTCTTCATCAATCTCAGTTTCCATGCCTCTCTCATCTTGCCACATTGAGTGTGATTCTAGTGTTTAAAGTTATGTATGGTCTACACAACATGATTCTTAAAAACATAAGCCAACTACTTCATCTTGTGATCAACTGGAGAAAAATGATCGGAGTTAGACTTATTAAAATACTTTGCCTATATACTATTCGTTACGTGTGATGTGCATTTTCAGGGGTTACATTTGAAAAAATTAATCTTACATTCTGCTGACTTTAGAAACAAATCCTGTATACTGGGACTTTATTATAAATTTTCTATAAATGGTATTGTTAAATGAAATATAGAATATTGAGTGATATTCCACTTTTCCAATGTAATGACATCATATAAGATTAAAATGCACATTGAATGTAATTCTTAAGCTTAAACTTTTTGAATAAAAGCAAAATGATCATTTCTGGGTTTTCTGTTTAGCAATTTACTTTTAAAAGCATTGTTACATTTAAATGAACTCTCGGACACCTAAGATATTTACCTTTCAGATGTTCTAGTTTTATATTTCGAAGTTTTAGCACTTCATCTGTAATCTTCTGTATCAGGAAGTTCTGTGTTTTTTCTCGTCGAATAGATTCAACCAGGGTATCTAGTCCTTTAGGGTTTTCTTGTAAGTAGTCTAACAATTTTCCAGCTCTTTTTCTACTTGATGTTCGGCAAGAAATTTCTTCAGTGTCTTCTCTACTAAGTATTTTTTTTGCACGTAGATGATCAAAATGTCTCTCAGCTATGATTTTTTCACACAGGTATACACGCAAATTTTCTAAAGCCTAAAAGACATAAACGTATGTCAATGTTATTTTTTTAATACCTAAGGAAATCACATAGGTGATTATTAGTTAGGAATATTAACTGGTGGGAGAAACATGCTGAAGTCAGGAGGCTCAGGACTACTAAAATGCATGCTAATAAGATGAAGGTCCAAGTAGACAAAAGTAGGTCTAGATACTCCTCATAGCTCTGCCCTGCTCTGATCTCATTTTCACACCTATAAATGAAGACCTGGCTATTGTGAGGAGGGGTTGTTCTAATCTAGAGGACCTGGGTCTGTGGAAAAATGCCTGGTACATAGTAAGTGATCGGTAAATGCTATATGATGGTGACAATGACAACTCATTTGAGTCACACTTATAATGAGCAAAAGGCAATGGAAGATCTTAGCAGTACCCTAGCAAATGGTGACAGAAAAGTAGGCTAGGTGAAGGGTTCCTATAGGTCTCAGTCCACTGAACTCCCATATTCATTTATTTATTCACATAACAAACAATTCATATATATAAATACCTAATATGCCAAGTGCTGAGCATGCAAAAATCAACAAGACTTCAATTCTGCATGCAAAGGGCATGTGGTCTAGTTAGAGAACACATATCACATACAAGCCAATAATTATAAGACAATGTGATGTGACCCAGGAAGAAAAAAGACTATGTCAAGTATTGGGGAAGCACAGCCAGAACCTGGGAAATTTACAGAGGCTACACTTTTGCTAGAGGCATGAAGGTGCAAAGTAGAAAAATACTGAGAAGTTTGGGGTAGTTGGAACACATGCTGAATGTGAGAGGGCGGTGAGAAATGCAGTTAGGAAGGAAAATTGGGTTTGGAGCATAGAAGAATTTTTATGGTATGTTGAGGAACACACATATTACTCTGTAGCCCAAAGACTCATCCAAAGTTTATAAATAAGAAGCAATCTGAAAACTTTTGCAGATGACTAGCGGGGATTAAAAACTGGGGTCAAAGGAGACCAATCAGAAGATTGTTGTAATATCATAGATAAGATATATTGTGTGCATGAATTTAAGCTGTGGGGATGGAGAGAGAGACTAGATTTAAAAGATGAACTTCCTGAAAAATCTCAACTGTTGTCATTCTACCACCTATGTGCTAATGATTCCCCAATTTGAGTATGTGATTTAGACTTTCTCTATCTAGACATCCAAAAGGCACTTAAATTCAACATGTCCAAAACCAAATTTATCTTCCCCCATCCTCTTCTTCTGATATTCTCAGCTCATTTGGGAGTACCACCATCCATCCAATCATGCTATAAACCAACAACTAATCCTTGACTTTTCCTCTCTTTCACTCATTTGTCACATATGATCACCCATTTACCAAGACCTGCCACTCCCTTATATTTCTCTAATCTGCCCATTCACTTCATCTTTACTATTAGCAGTACTTTAGTTCAGGTCCTTATCATATGTTTGTATAAACTATCAGCAATGGACACCTAACTATACTTCCTACTTCTCTCCCCCTGCTTCAAATTTCTCCTTTATACATCCATCAGATCTTGCAATTTTTCAAGAGAAAATGGAAATCTGGAGTGTTATATAAACTCTAATACTGAAATGTTGTCAATTTTTAAAAAATTTAAAACACGGTGTTCCACCTCTGACTTAAAAGGATAAATTTCCTCAATAATGGCAGAAAGTAGAAAAGTTAAGAGCATAGCTCTGGACTTAGACTAACCTCAGTTCAAATCTTAAATCTGCCATATACTTCTGTGAGAATTAGGGCAAGTAACTTAATCTAATTTTCCAGTTCTTTATTGATAAAATACTACTACTTTGGAGGACCTCTAGGAGAACTAGATGGGACAGTGCATATGAAGGCTTGACACAATCTCTGATACACAGTAAGTGCTTAATAAATAATAGCTATTTGATAATGGCAGACAGGGTGCTTCATAGTATGGATTCTACCTACCTCTCCAGTGTACTCTATCACCACCTCTATCTGTCCTTTATGTTGTACGTACAACTGTTGTTCATCACTCCACATTTCTTTATGTTGTTACCTTTGTCTTGTTTTCTCTTCTCATACCACAAGTTGCCATTCATCCTTTAAGGTTCAGGACAGTGGTCATCTCCTTCAGGAAGCTTTACCTAAACTCCTTAGACTAAGTTAGGCACCCCTTTCCTCTGCCTTGCAATGCTCCGTGTATACATTTCACTCTTCTATATTTTAGGTCTCCACTTCTCATCCCCCAATTCATTCCCAGATATTTTCATTCTGTCTCACTACTCTTCTCAATGTCACCAGAGACCTCCTTAAAGCCAAATCCGATACTTTTCAGTCTTTGCCTTATTTCTCAGCAGCATGGACACAGTTAAGCATTCCTTCTTTGAAATATTCTTGTCCTATATGCATATCACACTCTCCTGGCTTTCTTCCCATCTTTATTGCTATAACTTCTCTTTTTAAAACTCTTCTATAATCTCTTTTCCCTTCTAGCTCTCAACTCCCTAGGTGAACTCATTTAATTCTGCACTTACATTTCTAGCTCAGATCTCTCTTCTGATTTTCACACTTGTGGGTCTAGTTGATGTTCCGACATTTCCACTTACTAATCTGATTCCACTCTTCCTCAACTTCTACATTCAATCCATCATAAAGTCTTATCATTTCTATTTCAAAAATGCATCTGTAATTCTCCTATTTCATCCATTTCTACTGCCTTCACCCTGATCCAAATTACTATCATCTCTCAACTATATAAATTCTAAGAGTCTCCTGACTGGTTTTCTCTCTTTTTACTTTTGTTCTCCTTGGTGCATACAACAGGCAGAGGGATCTTTTAAAAATATAACATAATTCAATCAGTTCCTATCATATTTGGGAAAAAAAATCCAAAAATTTTACTACCATCTATAAGACCCTTTATGATAGGGCTCTAGCCCACCTTCCTAACTTTACCTCAGGACATTCTCTGCCTTCTCCCAATGTCCCCAAGTCATCAAGGTCTTGCCTATTTTAGGTCCTTCGCAAATTCTATTCAGCCTAGAATGCTCTTCTCCCAGTTCTATTATATCCTTCGGTTACCAGTTCAAATGTAACCTTCTCTAACCATCCTATCTCAAGTAGATGCTCCTATTATTGTTTCGACATCTGTTTGTCTCCTTCATAGAATGTACCATAATTTGCAATTATACATTTATTTGTTTTCAACTCTAATGATCTACATGTTTGAAGCAGGCAAGAACCAGGTATGTTTTGTTTTACGCTGTATACGCTGTACTTAGCAGACTGCTAAGTAGATAGTGTTTTGGATGAATGTAAAATTCATTGCACTTATTTTATAATTTGTAATTATCCTTTTATGTCTATTTCCCTCCTTCCAAGAAATCAAGCTCTTCTGAAACCAGGATTGTATCTTACTTTCCAATTTTTAAACTGTTAGATTCAACTACAGCCTCACAGCAGCATGTAATCCATATTAATGAAACTGAACTAAATTCGACCAAAAAGATGAGGTAAACAAATAGATGGGGAAGAGAGAGAGGAAGAGTATAGTGAAGAAGTGGGAGTTTCCAGGAGGATGGGTTGTGGTATACCATTTATCAACACAGAGAATACAGCAGGACCAGCAAGCAGTTTTGGGGGAATAAAAAGTTCAATTTTAGACAATATGAGGAATATACAAGATATAAAGTGGATTTCTAGTAGGTATTTAGAAATAAGTGCCTACAGTTGAGAGAGTAGGAAGATCAAATATGTGGATGATAATTTGAAAACTTTCTAAGGTCATAAATCATTTTCAAAATATCATGAAGAAAATTTCTTAGAAAAATATGTGCACATATTTTTTTTTTTTCTCACAGACCTCCTGAAACTCATCCATGATTCCCCAAGGTTATGAATTTCTGATATGGCTATAAAATGAAATCATGGAGACAGATAATATCAATGAACTGATAGAAAAAAATAAAGACCCGGAAGCCGCTCTTCACATATGTTTGTGTACAGGTTTTATATCCTCCCACTTGTACCTCTCATTGCCTGTTTTATCAGCTGTAAAATGGGAATGACAATTATCTTCCTTAGAGGTTGCTCTAAAGTCTAAATGGGAATATTGTAAACTGTGGGAACATAGCAAATCCAGCTCCTGAAATTCATGGTTTTACTGGCAGAAATCTTGAATAAGACAACACTCATTCATTCTACATTGTTATCAATGTCCTAGTCTTATCTCAACTCGAATGTGAAGCAGGGGCCTGATCTTCATTTTTTGTATTTTTCCAGACTCAAGAACAGTACTTCTCCATATAGTAAGTGTTCCAGAAATATCCGCTGAATGAGGAAACTAAGGCACAAGTCCCAGTTGTGTCCAGTTTCTTTCTGCTAATGAGTCACAATTACCAAGTGTAATTATGAGTACAATGTAATAAACCTTACAGGGGAGGGAAAAGGGATTTGAAGCAGATAAACATTTAAAAAGCTGTTGTTCTGTCCAGTTCACAAAGATGATTTTGTGATTTTTGTAGTGTTAAGCCAGGGTACATTTCATGGTGAGTTTGTTTTTAATTTGAATTCATATAAAGTATTTTAGTGGCACTCATACAGGTCTCAAACGGCAAAACAACTAAAAGCAAAGTTAAAAGAGAAACAAATCATACCTCAACAAAGCCATTCTTTAAGAATAAATATTAAGATTTTTGGCAGCATCCAAGCAGAAGAGCAAAATTTAGCTACAAAATTATTTTTGACGTTTGCTTGTAAATTAATTCTGAACTACATCTATTCACCCCCCTCCCCTCAATTTAAATATGTGGGCGTTTGCTTACTAGGGGAATTCCAGGTTGTGCTTTCAGCTGTTGAGCTTCCCCCAACCCCCTTTGCAAAAGAGTTTCACATATATGCTCCATTGCTTGGGATCCTTTATCTGGTCCAGTCTTTGCTCCCCAGCAACCGGGGGCATCTGACTCAAAGATGAACCTGAGCCGTCGATCCCGTAAAACGCGTAGGTCCCTCAAAGCGCATGAGGGTAAAATCAACAGGAGATAAGTGGGTAGTGGGCAAGAAGTAGACTGCGAAGAGACGCTCCAATGAAGGTTTCAGAATCCCAAGCCCTGCTTCTAGTGATTTAAAACGTAGATTAACAGGTCGCCAGGGGATCACTTCCACCAAGGCCCCTCGGATGCAGGGCTCGCGGTGGTCCTGTCCGTCCCTCCGACCCGCGGGCTCCTCCTCCGACTCGGACTTCGGGTTTCCGCTTTCCTCGCCCGCTGGGCTGCAGCTCGCCCCCGCCCTCCCCCAGCCCGCGGGGCGCCTGGGCAAGGCTGTGCTACTCACGTCCTTCTTCACTTCTGTCAGGTCCTCCTCGGTGAGGGACAGTGCGGTGGGCTCCATGGCGGAGGCGGCAGATGGCGCTTCTTCCGGGTCCTGGAGCTCGCGCTGCGCCGCCCCGCCTACACTGAGGGCTGCGGCCTCCGGATGAGGGGCGAGAAGCGGAGGCGGAGCAGGTCGGGCGGAAGAGGGCTGCCCCTCTGGAAACGGGGGGCTCGGAAGTCTAACTGTGCAGCTTCCGGCTCTGCCTCTAGGGCCAACCGCGCCGTGGACCGTGACCTTCCGCTGCGACAGTCAGCAGCCGGAACCTTCCTTCTCCGAGAGGCTCCGCAGGTGCCTTCCCCGTCGGCAGGGCCCGCCCCGACTCTGCGGCAGCCAATCGCTGCCAGTCCCCGGCATCAGCCTTTCAGGAGTGGCTCCGTCCACAGCCTGCGGGTCTTCTGCGTGTGGCCGCGGGTTGCCTCCCGGAAAGGAATCGTTTCCGTGGGTGGAGCCCGTCTCGGCTACGCGCCGTGGGCACTCCCCGCCTTCGCAGACTGCTCCGTGGTGCAGTCTGGTCTTGGCTGATTTGTGCCATTGGGTTCCTCCCCTTTTCCCAGACCTTCCCCTACCATTTCCTGTTGCTGTGTTTGCTCACTCAAGTTTTTTAATTATTTGATCACACGCAGGCACGCGCGCATGTACCCTGCTCCCTCCCGCCCCACAGCCTAACTACAGTACTAAAGAAATATTTGAAAGAGAAAAACCACCTACAATCTCAACACTGTAACATCCAATTTTATCATCTGTATACTTTTTGGTTACTATTATAAACGTATTTCCTTATTTATTAATCTGTGTCATGAAGCTGTCTACCTCATTAGGTCTACTGTGAAAATTAAATATCAAATGTAAGGTTCTTAGAGGTACTTGGCACACAGTATGAACTTAATTTATTATTTATTATCTTGTATTACTCAAACATTTATTGAGTCCTCACTAATATGTTCTAGGCGTCTGTCCTGTAAGAGTTCTCTCATTTTATTAGGGGAGACTGATAGCTAGCTATTCCCAGAATGGTATTCTAGAAGTGTATAGAGGACGACATGAGTAATGTGGGTGAGAGGCTCAAAACAGCCCCGGGCCCAACCATTGTTTGGACAACATGCTAAATAAACTAGAAATAATCTAGAGGGTATTTGAAGCTACAACGATAGATAAATATGACAAGAGAACCAGAGACAAACTTGGGAACCCTAACATTTAGGGGACGAGAAAGCGAAAGAACCAGAAAAGAAAAATGTTGCCAAAGCCAATGTAGTTTTGATTATAACACAGGGATTCTGCTTTTAACATTAACATTATGTCATGTGTCTTTTTCCATGTTGATACGCAATATTTTTTTCTGATTGCTTAATCTTCCATTGTCATGGTATTACCCAATTTACTTAACCATGTATTCTTTCATCTCGCAAATACTTATTGAATGTCAGCTAAGTGCCAGGCACTCTTCTAGGTAATGAGGAAACAGCTGTGGACAAAATAGGTACAACTCTTTTCTCCTGGAGTTTAAATTCTATTGTATGTGTGATTGGGGCAGGGCAGATAGACATTTGAAAAATGTTACATAAATTATTTATTATGTTAGAAGCTGATTAATACTAAGAGAAAATATAAAACAGGGCAGTAGGATGAGGCTTTCTGGAGTGGTAAAATTTAAAATAGCGTGGTTAATGAAGACCTCTCTGAAAAGAAGAGATTTGAGTTAACACTTAAAAGAACTGAGGGAATGAGCCATGTGGTCATATGGAGAAAGAACATATGAGTAGAGAGAACAGCCAAAGGATCCAGTGTGACTGGGAAGAAGGTGAGGTCCTTGTGTGCCACTGTAGAAGTTTACTCTGACTTTACTCTGAGTCATATGGGCTTATTCTGAGTCAGACGGGAAGCTGCTGGAGTGTTCTGAGCAGAGGGATGATTCGATCCGATTTATGATTTGAGAAGGAGCACTTTCACTGTCGCCTTGTGATAAGGAGGATAGAAGAGGGGGCACCAGTTAGAAGCTATTGCCATAATCCAGGCCCCAGGACGTGGTGACTCAGAGCACAGCTGGTAGCAGTGAGGGTGGTGAGAACATTTTGAGGAAAAGTGGGATAGTGATTTTATTTCCTTTTGAGAGGATCACTTTGGTTGCTGAGGAAAAGGTAGGCTCTAGGTGTAAAGGCAGAAACAGAGAGCAGCCGGAGGCTACCACGGCGATCCAAGCAAAGACGGAGAGTGGCGTGACCAGAGTGGGAACAGTGGCGAGCACTCCTCCATGGTTACCGTACATTATCCCCAGTTTTTCGTTGTTAGATTTGTCCCCATTTTTTTTTTAATCTATATGTTTCCCATCCTTTTTCTTTTGGAATATCGTTTCCTTGCATAAATTCCCAGGAGCAAGAGTATCGAACCCAAGGAAATGATTATTTTTCTGTCTTTTCATAGGTTCTCTCCAAAGTATTGGCCCATCCATGTGTGGGAATGAACTGTGTTTTGCCATTACCATACCAGTTCTGCTGATGGAGGAGGGGATTCAGAACCCATCAAAGCAAAGTGATTTGAATTATGCCAATTCGACACCCATTTTGATCAGACCATTATGATATTGCTGTTCTATTTTTGTTCTTTGTTCTTTCTTTTTAAAAAGAACTTCTAAAAGTTAAAATGATGTTTATTTTAATGCATTGCAAACGTAGATCAAAGTTATGATCTGGGGGATGTGCATCAAACCCATGAATTTGTATTATTACTTAGGTCAAAGCTAAGTCATAAATAGGGATTTGATTTAAAATCCCTTTAAATGTAGTTATTCCATAATGGATATTTTCAATTACATATGTGTGTACCTTTATTATTACTTTTCATAATTAACTTTGGTATTTTATTTTATTTTTTTTAAATTTTATTATTAGTTTCAAGTATACAGTACATTGGTTAGACATTTATGTAGTTTATGAAATGACCCCTCTGATTGCTCTTTCTCGCCTCTGGCTCTACATCTAGCCATTACATTAATGCTAACTGTATTCCCTACGCTGTGTTCCCCGTCCTCGTGACCATCTATCAGCTACTAATTTGTACTTCTTTAACCCTTCACCCCTTCCTCCCAGTCCCCCAACTCCCCTTTCCTCTGTCACCAGATTGTCCTCTATATTTGTGAGTCTGTTTTTGATTAGTTTGTTCTTTTTGTTCCTTAGATTCCGCATATAAGTGAAATCATGTGGTATTTATCTTTCTCTGTCTGACTTATTTCACTCAGTGTAATAACCTCTAGGTCCATCTATGTCTTTGCAAATGGTAGGATTTCATTTTTTTAATGGCTGAGTAATATTCCATTGCATATATGAATCACAACTTCTTTATCCAATTGTCTGTTGATGGGCTTCCATATCTTGGCTACTGTAAATTGTGCTGCCATGAACATAGGGATGTGTAGATCTTTACAAATTATTGTTTTGGTTTTCTTTGGATAAATACCCTGAAGTACAATTGCTGGGTTGAAAGGTAAATTCATTTTTAACTTTTTGAGAAATCTCCAAGCTGTTTTCCATAGTGGCCGTACCAATTTGCAATCTCACCGAGAGTGTATGACAGTTCCCTTTTCTCCACATCCTCGCTGACACTTGTTCCTTGATTTATTGATGAGAGCCATTCTGACAGGTGTCAGGTGATATCTCATTGTGGTTTTAATTTGCATTTCTCTGATGATTAGTGACCTTGAGCATCTTTTCATGTGTTATTGGCCATCTTTATTTCCTCTTTGGGGAAATATGTGTTCAGGTCTTCTGCCCATTTTTTAATAGGATTGTTTGTTTTGTTGTTGTTTAACTTCATGAGTTCTTTATATATTTTGGATATTAATCTCTTATCAGATATAGCATAAGCGAACATCTTCTCTCATTCAGCTGGTTGTCTTTTCGTTTTGATGGTTTCCTTGGCTGTGCAAAAACTTAGTTTTATGTAGTCCCATTTGTTTATTTTTTCTTTTGTTTCCCTTTTTAAATATTTGCTCTTTTTAAACGAAACATTTCAACCACACCAAACTATAAAGAATAATATTACAAACATCCTATGTTCATTACCAAGATTTAACAAATGTTTATATTTTTCCACATTTGCTTCTGTTATTGCTTTTGCTTATCAAATGTTAGTGGCAGACCTCTCTGATTCTTGAGACTGCTTTCATGATGTTACTATACATCTGATTTTTTCCCTGTCATTGACTACCATTTCATTTCTGACACCTCCAATCTTCTTCTATCCTCAATATTCATTCTCTTATTTATTTATTCAACTAAAAAGTTGTGTCTGCTATATGTCAGAAGTGGGAATTATGGAATGAGGATCAGGAGTTGAGTAGGACTGAGTTAGGAGTTTAGAAACTATTAACAGCTGAAAGTTTAATATTTTGTTTTGAGGCCATGTCTAAATGTTCCCAAGTCAAATTTTCTGTGTCAAGGCAGCCATATCTGAATGCTCTATGCCTTCACAGAGCTAGTTCATGGCAGGCGTAGTTCCTGCTTTCTTTCTAGTGTATCATACTTCCCTCATAAGCAGACTTATTTCCTCTTCTCTGCTAAATCACAGGGTCAGACTAAAATAAAGATTGGATGTGTTTAAAAAAAGATAGGCCTGCCCATTCTCCGCCTTGCAGTAATTCGACCTCTTCTCTGTCCCTTTTATCCCCACTTCAACTTCTAGACGCACCATCTAGCTCATACTATGAAATACAAGGCATCTGATAAATATACTGTGAAAAATACAGTTTAGGTGCTGAAAACATGAGGCAGCCTATCATAGTGGTTAAGAATGAGGATGTTTGGCATCTAACAGATCTGGGCTGGTATAATAGTTTTGTAGGGCTGCTGTAACAAATTACTACAAGATAGGTGGCTTAAAACAACAGAAATTTATTCTCTCACAGTTCTGAAGGCTGGAATTCCAATATTGGCAGGGCCATGCTCCCTCTGAAGGCTCTGGGGAAGAATCTGTCCTTGCTTCTTCCTAGCTTCTGGTGGTTGCCGGCAATCTTTGGCTTTCCTTGGCTGTGGCAGCATAGCTTTGATCTCTGCCTCCATCTTTACATGGCCTTTTTTTCTGTTTTCCTTCTATGCCTCTGCCTCCAAATTCTCTTTTTCTCATAGGGACACAAATCATTGGATTTAGGGCCCTTTCTAATCCAGTTGACCTTATCCCAACTTGATTACATCTGTAAAGACACTATTTTCAACAGAGTGTCTGAGGTGCCAGTGGACGTGAATTTTGAGAAGACACTGTTCAACTCAGTACAGTTGGATTCTAGACTTGCCAGTTATTAACTGTTTGACCTGGGAACAATTAATAAGCATTCAATAAAGATAGCTATTATAGGAATGCAGAGGGAGGAAAGAGGAAACCATTTTTGACTGACACGACAACATGAAAATAGTGTAGTTAAACTGGGCCAGAGAATTTTAATGGTGGAGCT